AGATTGTGATGCTATCCGTATGCTTCAGCAAATATTTTCAGAAATTGTAAATGCATTAAATGTATCAATACAAGAAAGAAAATGTAATTTGCAATCGACAGTCTTTTAGGAAGAGAAATAACATTCTACCACAGTAATTCAAAAAAGTGTTTGTGTAACTTGAGGTCCTAGAGGTCCTATTAATTGCAAACCTGACATCGAATCTCATGACTAATACTTATTTCACTTGCTAATTTCTATTCACGCTCCTTAAAAATTAAGCCCATCCTCAATATATATTTTAGAAAAAAAACAAACAAACAAACAAAAAACAAACAAAAACATAATGCTTCTCCATTCACCTACTAAAAGTAACCAACTGCAGCATTGAATTTGCTTTTTCTTCAATATCGGATTTTTTTTCTAGAACTGAAAAAAATAACTATTGATTCTGATTTTATAAGGGGTACTTAATATCCTAAAATTTAGGATAGAGAGTCGAAAGAATTGACCCAGCGTTAAGCACTCCTTTGAAAATTTTGTTCTGTTCTATCTTCCATTCCCTGCCCAATTTTTTGTTGATGTAAAAAAGTTCCTTTATTAAAAAGGGAAAATATTACCGAGCGGGGGCGCCCCTGGCTGAGTCTGACCGGGAGCGAAATGACCGGTGGTCAAAGTGTTTATTTCAAAAATTTAGTTTAGAATGCCAATCAATTTTTGATGATCAGTTTACTCTGCTATATGAATCTGATACTCTACAACTAAAAATGCGTTTTACTAATGGCAACATTTTACACTGTGTTTGTTGTCACCATTGCCGGCAACACTGTTTAAGACGAATTCCTTACTCTTCGTGAACGCAATTCAACTACTTTAGGGAAAAAGGTTCAAGATACTCACTGCCGCCGCCGCGACTCCTAGAATCTGGTGAGAATTCGTTTTTCTTCGTTTAACTTTATCGTTGCTATTTTTAATGGTTCGATTTTTCAATGATTTTTTTCTAAGCCTATCGTAGGGATATTTTGTTAGAGTTTTCTCCAGTGTATTTACGTCATGGTTTGCCGGGTATAGCCTTCTTCTGTTGGTTTTGTAAAGTGTAAAGCCCCCTTTGTACTTGCATCCCTATTCTACGAATTAAATTATTCCAAATTCGTGATCGTAAAAAACTATAAATGAAGTAAAATCTGAAAAAAAAAACACACAAACACACACACAAGGAAAAAAAGTACAAAGAAGAGGGAACTATTTTAAAAGTGTAAGAAGAGAAGAAATAATCGAGTTATGTTGGCATAAGGCAAAGACTAAGACCAAATTCATTAGGAAACTGAGTAATTTTAATTTTTAGTGGACAAAAACCTTAACCTTGTACCAGAGTATTTTAAGCCCGAGTTTTGCATTCTTTTTTGAGACTTTTCAAGGGCTATAAATGTAATAAGTTACATGAAGTAACTCCAAAGAAAAGATTCTCATGGGAGCAAGAGAAAATAGATTTCAAATTTCACAGGAATTTGGAAAACACAGGTAAAATCGTCATGCACAAGATTTCACTTAATGGATTCGATCTTAATGCATTTACTATGCACCGAATTGCATTTGCAGTCAGATTTATTTTTTAATTCTGCAGTTTATTTTTCATATATAAGAAACATTAAAGCCTCCTTCTCAGACTGCTTCGCCGGGCTATGTTACATCATCTTCTCCCACGAACGACGTTCGAAAGGGAGCTAGTCGTGACGAAGCGCTTAGAACGACTGAGCGGAGGGCTAGCCTTGGAACGTTAACTTTTAATTTTTACTTTCATTCTTTATCGAGTCTTTTTGACCCTTGGCGCGCGAAGACATCTGCGTAGATGCTCGAAATTTTTAAAACAAAAAAAGCATTTCTTTGAAAAATTAATGTCCAGAAGAACGACTGTTTTTTAAATAAGCCTCATAACATAATAAGGTATCAATTCCAGAAAAGAGTGACAATATAGTTTTGAAAGTCTTCGCTCTTTGACGGCCACATTTTGATGTTTATTGAGCTGAGCCCTAATAGTGCAGAAAACTGTCTGTTCATGAGCCCAAAAAAAAAATACAACAAAATTCTTAAAATGAGCTTTCAAATTTCTGTTCATAATATTTCCTGCTTGTACTTTTTATTCAGTTTTGTATCTCAATACATTTTCTGAGTGGTATAAGAGGATCGAGCATTAAACGATATCTCTTATGGTGAAGTGATGGCCTGTTGCGGGGATTACGCTGGATTTAGAAATCGGTTTTGTCAAGATGAGGAGCTCTCAAACTGTCTTTTTATTAAACATTTATATACATAAATTATTGATTATTTGGTATGTCTTTGTAAAAGAAATTTTTAAAGGCAACCATTTGAAAATTTTAAGTTCATTTTAATTGGCAATATGCATGTCGTTGGTTAAATTACCCTCCAGCAGCTTACATCAATTTAGCGACCTGCTGTGGGCTGATTTCATTTACGTTCTAGCTTCCATTAGCCGGCCGTGGGCCGAATAACTATGTCATTTAACAGTACCGGTAACAGAATTAAAACTTGATGTGCAACTTTCCTAACGAATCTAAATTATTGCATAGGTACTGTTTTCTAGAAGTATTTTAAAGTCGAGTTGGAATTCGGCGCTTGATCGGCAAAACCTTGCACGCGACTGCGAACATCGCAACTTTGTGGAATTGAACTTGTAAAACTCTAGTCTCAGAAAAGTGCGTGGTAACAGAACTCTTATGTGAGTGTAATTTTTCGTTTTTGACTGTTCTTGTTAAGGTTTCTTTTGTTTCCACTTTCGCCAACCAAGATAAATAATTATTACACCTTGTATAAGCAAAAAAATGTTAGCTTAAGTTTCTAATTAATACGGAGCTAATTTCTAAACACCCACGCCTCGATGGACTAGGATCGGACATTTGCAACTCTGCACTAATGCATGACATTTTTTGGAACATCTGTAATCCTTTTTGAGATAATATAAAGTCGACGGTCTGTAAAGACGTCAACAAACGACGACAAATTTTTCGCTGTCTTTCCCATTTTGGATGTGGTTTTTGTTTTGGTTTGGTTTGTTATTGTTTTAAGTTTATCTGCATTTTGACTAGCTACGAAAACGACGCAGATTTACTTAATGTTGTCGCCGTCGTGGTTGTTTATTTGTTTATTAGAAGTTTCTAAAGGTATATATGTCATTTTTTTGTTAGGTCTTGTCACAGGTGCCTCAGAGATTAATTGGGAAGGCTCATGCACTCTAAGCAAGAAAGAAAAATGAAAAAAAGAAATCGCTCAATGAACCAAAGAAAACACAAACAAAGTGTGAAAAAAGCTTAAAATTTTATTTTAATGCTGTAACTTTAAAAAAGCCTCGTTTATTTAAGTCAATTTCAGAATAATGTTTTAAAGGCAACAGAATTTAGGAGCTTGCGATATTTTAGTAGCTTATGGTGTAATAATTTGCCTGGCTAGAAGGTCTCACTGGGGTTGACCGGCCAAACAATTCACCGTCAACCGTCAAAAAATGTTATATTTAACCGTGAACCGTCTAAACTGCAGGTTAAGACTAAACGTCAAGTTTCAAAGTGTTTCAAATCTCAATATTTCAGCTGATCTTCACGGAATTCCGGCTCCTAAAGAATTTCTAAACTGGGAAAACCAGTTTTCTCGCATGCCCAACAACCTTCTTATATCTGAAAATATTTTGAAATTTTGTAAGTGAAAGGCCAAGACAACCTTCAAAACACATCAGTTACTTTTAATTCATACAGAAGCTGATTTTGGATCAACTTTTGGACCCAATTTCCAATTAATAACCGTCAAAAGCTCTAAAATTTAACCGTCAGCCGTCAAAATTGGAACAATTAACCGTCAACCGTTAAAGCTACCACCCCATTGACATGGGGTTCACTGACCGCATGATTAAGGAATCGATATTTTCAGGTTTTGCTCTTCTATCATGATAAATTAAAAGTATAAGTCCTATCTTAATTCCACAAAAATTTACCTTTGTATGTTTTCAGGGACGTCTTTAGTAAGTGCAAGAAATTTTTTAAAAAAATAATCTTTGAAATAGAGGTACACGTGAATACTAGTAAAATAGATTTTCACTAAAATATTTGATTGCAGAACTAGTTAAAAACGCGCTTGCATAACCAGCAGTTATTAGTTTAGTACAGATAATTTCCTCTGCCATTCTTTACGCTACTCCAAACATCCGAAACAAGGTTGAAAGGCTTCTTTTGACACCGCAAATGAATCGTCAGTAGAAACCTGATTTAAGAGTTTCCAAGTGCTTTTTTTTTCTACTTTCTGCGGTTATTTTTAAGTTTCCTCAGTTTTACTTGCTTTTATAGGTCTTTCATTTGCTGGGTTTTAACGATAAAAGTTTTTCCTTCAGGATTATTATTATTTTTTTTTTTGCGGGGTGTGGGTGAAGGGAACTAGTGAAAGTTTCAAACAATTCTGGTTTTCTAATAATAATTGTCGTCTTGTGGAGTCAACACTTATTTACATTTAGCTATCATATAATCACAACCATCTCACTTTTGTTAAACAAGACTAAAAACTGCTTGGCGCTAAGGATTGTATTTTGAATTTTAAAACAATTATAAGAATAACTCATCGCCCAGAATGCCGCGAAACATCCGGGAATTTTTCATGTACGGCGGTAAAGATGAAAATTCGTAGAGAAAAGTGTGTGTGACAACAGAGAAAATGGCGGTAGCGCATTCATCTTCGACTTAGCTTTTCTGTTTTACCGGCTAATTAATTCCTCTAGGTACCAACCTGCGGGTGCATTTTAAAGAGGAGGAATCAATATAAAATTATTTCGAACAAAAATGTGTTTGTTATGGTTTCTAAAACTTTTATCAAATTCGGTTTGAAAATTGGCTATTTTAGATGCTTTGTAGTATGCAAGTTTTTTTCTTAGGCGGAAACGTTCGACGAATTTAATAATCAGTTAAGTTCACCTTTTGTAAAGTTTATGTTTTAACAAAATACTTTTATGTTCTTTACTTCCAGATATGACGGCAAGAATAGTTTTCCGTACCTTCGTTCTAGCTCTCCTGCTCTACAGCGCAGTAACCACTAAGTGTCCTGCAGGTGGTAGATCAGAGAAGTCCATTTTGGGATGGATGTTACGAGGACACGTGTACGACACTCTTCTCGCTGAACGTCCGTTTACGTGCGTAGTCCAGTGTCGCGAAGACAATCGATGCCAAAGTATTAACTGGGTTATCTCTCTTCTTATGTGTGAGTTTAACAACAGGACAAAGGAAGCCAGGCCCGAGGACTTCATTCCAAACCAAGACAGATCTTACTATCGACGCGATTTACAACGAGGTGAGCTATCATTAAGTGCCGGGGATACTCTTAAGTTGACCGGTTACGGGGAAGCTCCCCACGAACGGGGTACCTTTAATTTGTCAGGCTTCATATGAAAGAGCTAAGAAATTTCACAGTTAAAGTATATGAAAGTTAGTCATCTCTGGAGGCCGATAAAAGAAACTAAAAGAGCTAACAGATGCATTTTATGGATGAGAAAAAGCAGACGGAAATTTTTCTGGTTTTGAGCTTATTCCTGTTTAAAAGACATAGAATTTACAGCAGTTAAGAGGGATGCAAAATTATCGTAAAATCCTATGTTAAAGCCCCCTCCGGATTTAAACCCATCAGTTTGCAAACGAAGATATTATTCTGGATATACCACCCCCCCCCCCCCACCCCCCCCCCCACCCACCACCCCACACCCAGCACCCCCCACCCCCCCCTCCAACACAAGACCCCCAACGACGCTTAGTGTTTTTTATAATAAAAAAGAAAAAATTATCAAACTAATAAAGGGGTGAAAAAAATTATAAAAACCTCATTTTAAACCCCCCCCCGGATTAAACCCCACATCTTTCAAAAAAAAAATATTTTTTTGGAAAACCCCCCCCCCCCCCCGCCCCCTCCACCCAAGATATAAGCCCATGTTATGCCAAGCGCGTTTTGTAAAACAGTAGCCACTTGAATTGGAACATGAAGCTGCGAAATTGTGCGGGTGAAATAGAAATATGAACTTTGTTAATGCTACCCAGAGGACCGTTTCTTGAAGTTTTTTGACTTTTGTCCTGTTCCGTTCCAGTTGTTTAAGTGTTTTGTAGATGTTTGTGAAATACATTCTCCATTTATTGTGATCAATTTATAATGGAATGTTTGCTTTAATTCGGTTCAGATATATTTTATTCTGTCGGTCCGATACATTTATTTCGGCTTATACCCCCCTTCCCCCTTTATAAGCCCACCCAAAACCCTTTATGAAGTTATATAAGCCCCTGAGCTTTAACGTGGGATTTTACGGTAGTTCTAAGATTCGTGAATCGAAGGTATACGAAAGGGGTACCTTTCTTGTCTAAAACGTTGTATAAAACGGTAAGGGGTTGGACCTCAGGGCGGAACCTCCGGTCCCGGCTTTATAAAACTTTGTTGAGTAGCGCCCCGAGCATAAACTAAAACCTCTGTAGGAGTAAAGGCGAACTGATAATGAAGAATTGTTTTTTAACCTCTCAGTTCCCCTTGGTTCGATTCAAGAACTCCCAGCTGAGACTTGTGACGAAATAAAGAGGAGTGAAGGACACGCTGTTAGCGGAAAATACTGGTTTTCCACTATAAAATCTGGTACATCTGTTCTGGCTTATTGCAATATGGATACCAACGGTGAGTTTAGTTAGTTATATAATCGGCGACTACCGTTAAGCTGATTGTGCCCCCTGATAATTTATGATTATTAGACAACTGACTTAAATGTTTCATATTTAGTCACAGATGCGGCGACTGATGAAAAATTAACCGAGAGATTGAAACTGATAAGACCCGGAGAAAAAAGATAAATTTGGAAGTAAAAAAAGACTCATGTCACGAAGGAATGAGTACTCCCAACGTCACATGTTAGGGCTTGAGTAAATGCCCTTCAATAATTTTTTTCATGAATCAATATGCTTGTTGTTCTAGACACTGACGAATGCAGTGCTTCTACACCTGTATGTGACATCAATGCCAACTGCTCCAATACTCGTGGATCGTATATCTGTACCTGCAGGGCAGGATATACAGGCGATGGCGAAACTTGCCAAGGTAGGATAAAGCTTGATTTACTGTGATAACAACGAAGACGGCAGATTCCAAGGGACTTGTGATGACCAGCAAAAATGGGCAATCCATCGAATCCAGTCCGTTTATATACCGGCAGTGCATGAGATCATATGCCTCTGGTTATACTTCTGTCATAGAAACTTTTTGCGAAGCCTGCCGGAAAACAGCCCACATTTGGCGACGCTACCACCGGTTTCCCCAGCAAATGCTAGATCTGGGTAGTACTTCTGATTGGTCGTGTAGCGTGGGAAATTTAATTAAACCAATCAGAAGCACTACCCAGATCTGGGTAGTGACGCATCAGTATGGAATTTCTGCGCTAGTTTCTTAGACGTCATTTGGCGGGTAAACCAGTGGTAGCGTCGCCAAATGTCGGCTGTTTTCTCAGGCAACTTTTTGGGTAGATGTAAGTGTATAGAAATTCTGTAAAAGACCGCGCAAGAATTAAAACGTTTGAAGTCCGTTATTTAACCGCGACAAGTAATGCTGTAATTACTTAGTAGAGCACCTAGCCCAGTAGAAAAAGAAAAACAAAATTATGAAGCAACAGCAACTGACAGATTTAAACTGATAAGACATGGAGAAAAAAGATAAATTTTAAGGGAAAAAAGACTCATGCCAAGGAAGAATGGGTACTCCTCGCGCGCGTCACCTTTTAGGGCCTGAGTTAATGCCCTTCAATTTTTTTTTTCATCAATCAATATGTTTGTTGTTCTAGACATTGACGAATGCGGTGGTTCTTCTCCTGTATGTGACATCAATGCCACCTGCTCCAATACTCGTGGATCCTATATCTGTACCTGCAGGGCAGGATATACAGGCGATGGGAAAACTTGCCAAGGTAGGATAAAGGTCGAAACAGCGGGTAACCCTAGGTTTTTGGAGCAGCCTATACAGAAAAACCCTTTTTTAGAAGAATTATGAGAGATATATGAAAAATGTTAAAAAGTTCTGGCCTGGACAACTCGATGGCGATGAAGAAGAAATCTCTAAAACGTTTTGGTTCCCTGTTGAGAAAATTCAGACTGTTATCAACGGGGATCGAACAAGGCTGAATATTTTCATTTATTTATAATTATTTGATATTATTTTGTTAGCAACGAGCCTACGATAGATCCTAGTGGAACTTCAATATTTTTGTTGTTGTTTTTTAGACATTGACGAGTGCAGTGCTTCTCCTCCTGTATGTGACGTCAATGCCAACTGCTCCAATACTCGTGGATCGTATATCTGCACCTGCAAGGCAGGATACAACGGCGATGGAAAAACTTGCGGAGGTAGGAAAAAATAATTAGTGAATCTTAAGGTCAGTTTCTTTACTGTTATAATATCAATTACGAAAGTGTCCTAAGGACATGCGACATAATAGCGTTCAAAATGGTGGATAATGAGATCGGCAATCCGCTAAATCAGCCGTTCAGCTTTCGTATCCAGCATTGTATGAAGTCATGCCTCATGTTATGCCTATGCTGGAGCCTATAACACGGAGCGCGCAACTTCCATGTATTCTTATCAAGGCGTTTTCACCGACCATTTTGGCGTGAATTTAGACTATCTTTTAGGTCTCCCAAACCAGTCAGCAAAACGAAAATGCCTGAAAATGGCATTTCCGACTTTTAAATAACTCTGCATCATGAGCCGCCACTTAAGACTGATGCGCTACCTCACTTGTTATATTTAACCGTCAACCGCCTAAAATGCAGGTTAAGACTAAACGTCAAGTTTCAAAGTGTTTCAAATCTCAATATTTCAGCTGATCTTCACGGAATTCCGGCTCCTAAAGAATTTCTAAACTGGGAAAACCAGTTTTCTCTCATGCCCAACAACCTTCTTATATCTGAAAATATTTTGAAATTTTGTAAGTGAAAGACCAAGACAACCTTCAAAACACATCAGTTACTTTTAATTCATACAGAAGTTGATGTTAAGATCAACTTTTAGACCCAATTTCCAATAAATAACCGTCAACAGCTCTAAAATTTAACCGTCAGCCGTCAAAATTGGAAACAATTAACCGTCAACCGTCAAAGCTACCACCCCATTGACATGGGGTTCACTGACCGCAAGATTCAGGAATCGGTATTTTCAGGTTTTACTCTTCTATCATGATAAATTAAAAGTATAAGTTCTATCTTAATTCCACAAAACTTTACCTTTGTATATTTTCAGGGACGTCTTTAGTAAGTGCTTTTTTTTTTTTTAAATATTCTTTGAAATAGAGGTACACGTGAATACTAGAAAAAGGATTTTCACTAAAATATCCCAAACCAGTCAGCAAAACGAAAATGTCTGAAAATGGCATTTCTGACTTTTAAATAACTCTGCATCATGAGCCGCCACTTAAGACTGATGCGCTAACTCACTTTCGTGCAAACTGCAAATGGCGCGTAAATTTAAGTCATCTAGTTCATAATAAGGATTAGATTTGAATAAGGATCTAGGAAGTTACATTCATACTTATTGATGCATACATGCACTATTCTATAATTCAATTCATGTCTACATTTTATTGAACGTAACCATAAAACGTATTTTTTTTTTCTAAATAATTTATATAATTACTTCTCTTAAGGACGGTGTCCACTATTGTTACTACGCAAATTTCTGCGCATGCCAAAGTAGTCGCGCGCGACGCGAAAGAAATGTGCAACACGCAGGACACGCGGATTGGTTTTGTCTCCTGTAAGTTTTTCAGCAGATGAAAAATAATTTCTATTTGCCTTGTCAGTTTTTTGAAAACCGAAGAAGTATGCGCATGTTGCTATTTCTACGTATGATCGATCTGACCGAACATTTTATAGTCAAACAAAAGTCAATTCTAAAACATCAAAAGTTATCGCTTCAAGATGTTACGCTTAGAGCTTGGGTATTAAAAATTCCTCCATAGACAAGGATCAGTAAATCAGAAGAAAAATAGCTCTAAGTCCTCCGCTTAATCCAGAAACTGCAAGCTTACCTTTCAATCGCCTAAAGGGATTAATTTAAGGTCGAAACCAACCAATTTAACTTCTAAAAACGCGTGGTAACCCCTACTTTTTATCTTACCAAATGAAAGTAATAAGCCTACTCAGCAAACGATCAATTTTTTGTTCGGGGAAAATGTCGTTTACACTATTTTTGAGGCAAATGCGTGGAGAGGGGTAACTGCTGATAACTTCCCAGTTGTGCTGATATTTCAAAAAAAGACGTATAAAGAGCAGTTGTTATGTCATCATTTGTTGCCTATTTTTAAACCTTGTTACAATTATCATTGCATTTGTGCCAGTTCACGTGTACACTCTGAAATTTTGGGAAAAATAACTTTTTATCATTTTTCTAAAAAACGCCTATTCAGCGTTTTTCTCCATATTGAAGCGCAGTTATCTCTGAAAAATGCGTAGTTACCCCCAGTTTTCTTTTAGGATTTCAATAGCCCCTGATATGATCTACTTGTCTCACATAGTCATTATCCGGGAAAAAATACTTCCCATTAGTGGGCACCGTCCTTAAGAAGTAGTTACTTAAAAGTACCTTTAGCAATTATTGAATGAGGCTGAGTGGGATGACGAATTTTGCAGTTGAGGTGCATAACATCCTCCGAGATCTGCATGATTCTTTACATTACACGAAAGCCTAATTCATTCTTTCGCATTTCCGGTGTCTGGCATGTTGGGTGGGGGAATTTAATTACAAGTGTCGGTTTAATACAGGTTGGCAACAATAGAAATGACCATTTCAGGTACTCTTCAGGTGCCCGCGTCGGCTTAAAGGGAAATAAATTTGGGGAATCGGCTACTGTCCGCTTAATAGAGGACATCCGCTTAATGCGGTGTCCGCTTAATACCGGTTTCACTGTAAGTGATGTCAATTTCGAAAAAAGATGTTACCTGAGTTACCTTTTCTTTTCTCTTCCCTTATATCAATTTTTCCAGAGGGACTGACTGACTCCGTTATCGTAGGAGATAATGTGTATCACTTAGCCAATTTAAGTACATGGCTCAAACCAGTCGCCCAAAGCGAATCTTCAAAATGGAAGCGCTGTTGGCGTGCGTCCGTGGATGGCTGGGCTGCAAGTACTTTTCACAGCGGATGTGACAACAAAGGGCCAACTGTAACAATCATAAGAGTCGGAGGGAAATACATATTTGGAGGGTACACTAACCTCTCATGGGTTGGTAAGTGATGTAATTGTAACAGTCTAAACACCATACAAAGCTAGCGACGTTTTCGTATCACACCGTCGTTGCGCATACTAAGCTACAGAGAGTTTTGGCGTACGGACCCTCGACTGGCCCCTCTCCGACAATACTCAATACTCTCTCCATTTTAACAGAACAATGTTTAGGAATTCGGGTTTGTATGTTTAACAATAATTCTGAAGGGTAACTTCATCAGGGAATCGTATTCGCATTCGTAATGGTAACTTTGTTTCATGTAAGAAAGTCAAACAATGATACTGTTAAGAAAATTAACATCATATTAAATAACAACATGAATTTAAAACAAATGTAATGGGAAAATGATGGATATCGGTGTTGGAGTGGGTTAGGGCTAAATCTTTACTAAGACGACTTTCTCTCTGATTTTCTTTTAAAAAAGCGCAAATAAGGCGAAGTAGTAGTATACAACGTGAAGAAAGTTGTATTACACAGAGATGAATCAGCTTGTCACTGATGATTTTCACCGTTGCATATAAGCCGTTATATTCTTTTAATATTTTACCAGCCGCAACTCGGCCAGGATTTTTTGCAAGCCATCTTAGTTTTGACTTTTGAGCTAACTTAAATGGGTGCGGCTGGAACTTCAAACTTAGCGGGTGGAACTTCGGGGTCGAGTTGCATCATCTTTCTCTTCCATTGTTGTGAATTTCTTAGACAAGAAATTGTCCAGGTTCTTCATAAAGTTATTGTCCAGGTTTTTTCGCAGGTTGCTTTTTAAGTTTTTTTTGTTTTTTTGTTTTTTGTTTTTTAAAAAAAAACAATGTGTTTGGTTGTAAAGTCAGAGCGGCGTTGGCAACCACGAGCAGGTGGCCGCTGCGCAATGCTGTAATAACAGTCAGAGACGGAAACGCCGAGTTGATTATGAAAAAATCAAGTTGCTTATTGTATGTCCGATTGCAAAGTTTCCATGACAACACCGAGTTAATTATGAATTCTTCTCGCATGTCCTTTTGCAAAGCTTCCACGCCATCCACTTTGACGAACATACCAATGGCTTTTCTACCCAGCATCAAAAAGCTAATTGTAATCAATGTTTTGGTGGTCTTGCGCCAAGTCGTAGGCCTCATACAATTCATAATATTTCGCCACATCTTCGTCTTAAAGGGGTTTCTCCTGTTATTGAGTTGGGACCCGGTCGCCTCTTTGAATTTTCCCTTGGAAACAAGCACTGCTAGTTTTTCGCGTTGTTCTGGATTGTTGTTGGCGGGTAGCGAAATAGGTAAATCTGAGGATATCGAGTTATCTGGAGTGGCCTCCAGCAATTGCATAATATCATCGTTGAAATAAAAAAAAAAATAATGATAATAATATCGTCGTTGAGAAATTGTTGAGACCTTTAATTCGGTAGGAATGGCCCAGGGCGATAGCCATATGGGAAATTTTTTGGTTCTTTCAGCTTGGCTACCAATTCCTTGTACTTTTCGCAAAAAAAGCTCTCCCGCGTAGTCTTCAAAGATAGCCTTTATGGTTTTGCCCGACGTATCGTTATATTTGGACATGAAGGGCTCCCTTTTGATGTTTATTGTGCAGGTGCTGATTTTGCTCATGAATACAGATTGTGCTCATCACTCCTCCCCTCTTTAAGAACATCTTTAAAGTCACTCCGTACAGTTTTTGGGAGTAATAAGATTCAGCTACAGTGCTAGGCTAGTCTGAAAGCAGATTATCTTATAGTCTGGGCTCACAAGCATGTCCATGCTAATTTTTTGAGTGCTTAAATAAGGCAACCCTGAGTAGCTACAGTCGAGATCCTAAATGAGTGGATTATGAGATTGTCTGGAACATGGCTGTAGGAAATATAGCTGCAATACGCAATTTCTATTTTATTCCAGGAAGGGGCGACAGAAAGTAGGAAGGGTAATTGAAGATGGGCTCCACTGTGACAATAAAGGATATAATGACCTTAGAAGAATTTATCTTCATCAACACTCTCTACCAATGCCAAAGTGTATGGGTTGAAAGGAGGTGGGGGGTGGGAGGCTAAAATGGGGAAGATGGATACTACTACTTGCATTTTCTAAAAATCTAAAATCATTTTTTAGGCTGAACGAAGGCTTTTATCTCGCATACCAAAAGCAAGAGAAACAAAAAGTCCTTGCAAAAAGTGTAGCCACTGATGACCGACACCGCAGTTAGCTAAACAGCTCACATTTTGAAAATAAAGTATATTCGGAATTGCAGGTGACATCATTTATAATTATCAGTTAATTAGCTCTCTATGCCTTGCAGGAACTTTTACAAAGTTACATCAAGGGCGAATTTAATTCGCCCTTGATGTACTTTAGTCATTCTTTTCTTTTCTTTATAATATAACGAAAAGAAAAGAATGACTAAATCTGCAACATATGAGCCAGTAAAGTTTATAGCATTATTTATAGCTTTGAAATTCATCAAATGATGTACATTCAATGCACCTTAACATTTTCTCTATTGAGAAAATTCATTTTTCTAGAGGACTTCAAAATCAGCATTGTTATTTTAAAATATATATATGTTTTGGGCTTCATCAAAATCACACTAGTGTGTATCTACAATTTTGATAGCTTCAACACAAGCCGTCTTAGCCTGTAGACCTTATTCACCTAAAAAGAAACAAAATAATAACCAGAGCGAAAAAAAATCTAGTTACTGGGGGAAAAAACATTAACCTCCACTAGCAAGATCATCAACAAACAGTCTACTATTTGTAAACTTCACTCACGTGCAGAAATTCAGTTACCATCAGTTACTGAATATGACAATTTTGTCTCTAGGCTTTGCTACCTATCGTGTAGTTCCTCTTTTGACCTGCCTGTCGGTGAAAACTGTTTGACGAGGGTTGCACTATTCTATTTTTAAAATAATGTGATTATAACTGCTCAGTTTTGCAAGCCTGGCAACCCATTTTTATACAGATAGTAGCACAATGAAAGGAGCTAAAACCTTTGCAGGTAATTTAGGGACTAGGCAAGGCATGCATCTCATGAAAGCATACATTGGCCAACGTCAGCCTACATGTACATCCCTAATCATGGTCAAGACGAAGGAAAAGCAAAGTAAGGGAAAAGCATTTCTTCAAGCACATTTTATAACTGACAGCATTGATATGAATTCAAACATACAAGGAACCGACATATGACATCACAGTCTTTACGGGGAATGGGAATCTATGAAGGTTAGACGAAGGCCAAATTCAGTAATTGTAAATTATTCTTAATTTTAACCAATCACGTCCGCTAGTTTCCATTCTACTAGTTTTCATTTTACTATCCATGGCTGTCGTCTTGAGATCAATAAGTGCAGTACAGCGTTGCCGTGATACAGGCTTACATTACCAATAAATAACAATTAATATAAAAAATTTATAAACGAGTCAAAATGCCTAGCTTACATGCACTGTCAACTAATTGTCTACACCTAACTACCTGAACTAGAGGTACCTTCCGGCAAGTACCAACGAGGTGAACTCGTTTATTTTTTATGGAATGTGCTTATTCAGATCTTCGCGTGTTTTTTTTTTTTTTTACCTTCCGGCAAGTACCAACGAGGTGAACTCGTTTATTTTTTATGGAATGTGCTTATTCAGATCTTCGCGTGTTTTTTTTTTTGTTTTTTTTGTTTTTTTGGTTCATAATTTTAGAGGTTTAAAATGGATTCCGCTATAGAAAAGGATGGCACCTCAACTTCAAAA